TTTTTTTTGACGTGTTGATCGGGTTTCTTTTCTTCCTTTTTTTATCTTTTTTCTTTGACTTGACTTATCCATGACGGGTAGTATACTGATATCAATATAGATAGGTGCGAAGGAAGTATATAGCAGAGTAATATATATATCGACAGATTAGCAGTGGAAGTTGGAGGAGGGAACTCGGCTATTATCCTCCCTAGACATGGGCATTCGGAATTTAGACAACAAATCCAACATGACCAACATTTTGTCAAATTACACTGGTCTAATCAACCTTCCACTTGAGCTGTTAATATATGTCATCGACTTTATGAGAAAAGTCGACTCTTTATTACCACTCTCTTCAGTCAGCGGGCTATTCTATTAGCTATATACCCCCAGTGTTTTCAGAACACTCAAGATAGCTTTCTCGAGTGCTGGGCTGGACCGCTTGGTTTAAATATCTCAGTCTCGGGTCGCCTCACACGTTCGAGCAATTGTTTATAAGATTCCGGAATGAATTACCCCTCGTGAGTGAATTGTCAATTACTTCTATAAATGTGCTGACTGCTTGCCCAGTTATCGAGAGCTATGACTACTTCTAAATCTATATTTATACCCTAGCTGAGTACGACCGCGATAAGCGCGAGATTTTTGGACATTTGGAGGCAAAAAGCTCCGCTACTCGATGATATTCCACTATTTCAGTGCTAGAGCGCGAGAACAGCGCATCGTCCACGAGAATACCTAGGATATTGAGACTCTGAAGATTACTCTACCATGCTTTCCAAGGCTAGAGATAGTATATCTGAGCTTTATCGACGATATTCAATCGCCCTTCCGCTGGTTTGCTGGCTATGTCTTTTTGGATGGAGTGAATTACCTAAAAGACCACCCAGTAAAGATTTCCACAGCTATGGTCGTGGCTAAGATAGAAGGGGTAGTTATCAAAACGTTTAAGATATCAGGGTTTTATTCGCGCGTTAGTGGCAGGGACCTTCCCGTATTAGATCTGCTTAAGAACACTCTTAGTAACGTTCAGGAGCTAAAAGCGATCAATAGCTCCACGATATTAGAGCCATTGAGTCAGATTATGCTTCCCTCGCTCCAGCGATTTGAGATAGGATCTTACTGACTATCCTTGGAAACCATCGACAGCTTTGTCCGGCAGTATGCGAACTCGCTGCGTTTTCTCCACCTTGAAGACACCTGGCTCCTACACAAAAGAATAAGTATAGATAGTATCTATTTATCTATAGTAAACACTCAGTATATCCTAAAGACCTTAGCTGGGGTGTAGGACGCAGGCATCCTTGATCACAATTAACAGTTAACTGGGAGGAGTTTACAAGGCGCAGGTACCTAAAAAACCAGGCGCTGAAAGGAGGAATAAAAGTTTATATAATATATACTAAATTATACTATAGTTATACCATTATATATCTACCCAAGTTATTTAAATTCACTTCTCCGTATAGCTAAGTCTTAGCACCTCTTTCAATCCTGGTATCTATTGAGTTGCTAAAAAATATAGTCAAGATATTTCTTCTTCCAAGACTACAATAGAAGGTATGATCCCGACTTAATCTTACTATACGAGTACAAAATTATAGGTGAACCATAAAGGAATAAATATAAGTAAAGTTTATCCTTATTTATAGAGATGTATATAAGCTCAAGTACTCCTATATACTTATCCAGATAAATTTACTTTGTTTCATTATGCCTCAAGGTAGGTAAATGTATAAAATATGTATTGTTTTATGTTACATATCTATCTATAGCCAAGAATAGTAAGGTGTATTCTAAGCGGCGGGTCTTATTTTAGATATTACAAAATCTTGGATAACATGAGATAGTAGTATATATTTGCCTGGCTTTTCTTAATTTTATATTATTTATTTTCTAACTCCTAAGTCCTTCCAGTTTCCCTGCGGGTCAAGAGGGAAGATAAGAGAGACCATATTATTACCTACTAGCGCAAAGCTTATCAACTGTTCAATTTCTATTATTCAAAATAGGGCTGGTATATTTTTAGATAGCAGGGCGTTTAGAGCTCTTAGACAATAAACTATAAGATAGCCCTTGTAAGGACAGAGTAGCTTATACCTCTATCCCACACGGGGTCGAGTCTTCTCAGCGGGGAGCACTGATCCGCCCAGGAACCATCGTCGATCGTGCAATCTAGACACGACCCACTCAAAGGTTACTAGTCAAGGTTCGCACAACATTAATAGTTTTTTGTGTGGGGGCGTATATATGACATAGATTACTTATTACCGTTGATTATCTAGTATATTAAGTAAGGTTAAATATATTAAGGGTTTTTTTAAGCGGGGTAGTATAGATGACGAATATTACATATTCTATTATAATAAGAATTACTAGCTGATTACTCATTATAGTTAATAATATTGAACTTATAGAGGGTATTTTTAAGTAGGGGACGTATATATGACGAAAATTATGTTTTCCTTCTTCTTCTCGACAAGGAACCTATCTTTTATCTCTCCTTATTGCACCGTTGCTTACCGCTGCAAGATACTTAATCTATTTGTATTTTAAGCCTTTAATTTGTTTCGCATTACTTTGGTAAAATTTCTGAGTCGATTAAGATAGGGTAAATCTATGATTCTTCCTGCGTCACATATAGCACTTACCACTTAGGGGTACTAGGGCCACCCTCTCTAATTAAGTTTACTTTTCCAAAGTCTTGTTGCACCGTGTCTCTAAGGACCTCTAATCATACGGAACCAGTCGCTGTTTCTTTTATTGGTCATACTCTGGCTATAGCATATATATTAATATATATATATATTAGAAATCTTATATAAGTACAGACAATATCTTCTTTAATAGTTAATAGATTACTCGATCTATCTCAGTGACGAGGTATGTAACTATAAAGTGGGAAATAAGTTACTATATTAATTGAATGTATTTAGTATAAGTACTATTAGCTAGTAAGATGGTTGTCTATTTGTTTTGTATTGCGTGTTAGCAATACCTCGACTTCTATCCAGCGAAAGATAGTACTCTATCAGCGGGACTTGTTATCTATAGGAAATGCACCTATCGAAGAATTATTGGGCATTTAGTTTATCGACGTGATAGAGTCCTTAAACTAGCTGCGGCTATAGGACTGAGGAAATCGTCCTATAATTTCAGATAGTATGACAATATTCACATGGAAGGGTGGCCAGACCTTAATATATACAATATAATAGGTCATTCTATGTCTTCAATCTTTAAGTTGAGTATCTTTAGTTGTATCTTGAGAAGGTATATATAGTCAAGGAAGCCATGAGCTGGGTTTGTATTAAACGTCTCCAGATTTATATTTAATATACTATTATATATAGCCTTGTTAATTTATATATTATATTATAAGTCAAGCCTCTATATATCTCGGTGTAAGATAGTCTACACTATATATAAATTTAATTGGACAATAAGTTCCAGCCGCCTCTAAGATAATTATATACTAAGTGTATTTTTCTTCGGTATTAAGCCCGCGAATCTTAGATTAAGGGCACTTTTTTCAGAGTACAACAATAAATAAAGTTACTTTAGAAAAAGCAATTATTAATATTTCCTATTAATAATACTGCTTAGTTATTACTAAAGCTCGATCTATTAAATCGCCATATGCCATGGGGTATGCACATCTCTAATTATTCTTTTCTAATACTGGTTGAATCCTCACGAAAACCTTCTCGCCCAGGACGATTATGGACTCGTCGGGTATAGGAAAATGTTGGATTAACCAACTTGCGTCATTATTTTTCGAGACTTTCTCCTTCTTTCGAACCACCATCACGCGCTCTATATCCAGACTGGCATTGCAAACTGGTAAGGAGGGGATGATATCAAGGATTTGAATTGGATGTTTGGAACCGCAGTATTCCTTAACTCGGCATAACTGGACGGGGTCCTAGTATAGGGAGTGTTGAAAAATGGTCTGTAGAATGTGACGGAGACAGTCAACTGTGGGAGTCAATGGCCACAAAGGTGATTCGTCCGCTCGATGACTGTACAAAAGGATAAATCCGTCTGGTAGATCTCCTCCCTGCATGGTAAGGAGCCGGGAGACATTCTCACGCGTTTGATATATATAGTGGCAGATGAACTCTCTGCGAATATATTCCAACACATCCGCAGGGGTTCCTACCTCTGCCATGGGACCGTCGTTCGACAGACAGGGGCATTCCAGAACAGTGCAGAATATCGGGCTGGAGAGTATCTTGACTACTTTAGACCCGACTGCGAGTAATCGATGCCAATGGTGGCAGAAGGCAGCGTATATAGTCTAAGCATCTCACAATTTCGATACCTGTGGCAAGTTTCAGTATGAATCTGGGTGGCCAAAAAGGTTACTCCCTTCTGGAGGCGTGAGATTACTCCAGTATATTGAGTCTCTGTAGTCCAATGTATAAAGGACTATATTGGACATCATTGGCATGTTCTCACGTAACTACAGACAATCTAGGTTATGCTATACAATGTCCTGGTCTCTGAGCCTATCTGTAGTCTAGGCGAACGCGATGTGTTTCGGAGAGTAACAGAATATTATAGAATTATACCGAATAACGTAATTAAAAAAAAAAAGAGTAGGCTGGAAATTAGGCCGACGATGTAATTTTATCCTACCAACTATTAGGATTTGGATAGAAGGATGCACTTTATTACTAACCCGCCGAGAGAAGCTTCTATAGTCCAGTTCGTGTTCAACTGGCTTGAAGCTGTTATCGCGGTATATATAATTCGTCTGTTATTCTTCTCTCCCCTTCTAGATTTCCAACTATCTCGTGTTCCAGTCACAGACCAACTTATATAACTTTGATGTTAAACTGATATACTAGGTCATAATCGCTTGCGCTAATTATACAGACAGGGTATTAGTACCATAACCACTCGCAAGGAACGCTCAAAGACAGGTATATTCTATGCGCCCCTTAACCGTGTAGTAGTTCTAATATCTAGCAGGGTATACAAGCTGCCTGAGCCGCAAGATCAAATATGACGAGAAACACCCCGTCTGTGGTCAATATTCTGGGACTCCATTCCAGTGTAGATAGGGTGTTTTGGCTTGGAAGGACATCCAAGATACAAGAAAGTGAGGCAGCGCAGCGCTTTCATCCCACAAATAACTAAAACTCAATCTTAAAGATAGTGGACTTAATCCCGGCTACTATTAACTCAAGCCAGGTACTGGGTAGTTGTATTCTTGCCTCGACTTTAAAGAACGACTTCTTCTCTTCTCCCAGTTCCTTAACAGGAATGCATTCCTATTATCAGGCCCCGAGACGATGTACCTGGAATGGTTTTCAAGTTTTTCCCTGGTAAAAGTCCTCGGTAAGAAATACCCCTGGAGTAACTTCCGGTATATAAGCTAGGTTAAAGCTCTGGAAGAGCCAGTAGTAAGATTAGGGGTCATGGCACTGTCTGCGACCGAGATGAGCTGCACTGTACGACTACTGAACGCTAAGGACAATGGGCGCATATACTATAGCCTGGCTGTACAGTATATAGAAGATACAGTCGCGAAATTGATCATAATACCAAGTTATGTTAAGGCAGTCCTTAGCGGTATATTTCTAATAATTGTTTACGAATAGAGATTCAGGTTATCGATCTCCAAGTTACAAACCTACATCCAAACCCTTCTAATGTACCTGAGGCGGTTGTCAAATTCAGATCAAAGGCAATCCATGGATTTAACTGATTTAATAAAAAACCCCTCTTTCACTCCTTTTTACGCCCAAGTCGTGCTTTGGTATCTGTAAGAAGAGTTCCCCGTTCGAGCCACCTTTCTGTATGCTAAGCTCTGTCCTAGATATCTTGAGTTAAGCTATATAAATAGTGATCTTTCGTTTAGACTCATGGATTACTTCCTAATATATAGAGGAGAATCCTAACTGCAAAATCTATTTACACTTGGCCGGTTTTTCTATTACGCAATCCACGGGGATCAATACCCCCTTGAGGAGTAGAAAGATGATCTTTATAACTATACTTCTCTAGAGCTCGTGTATTACAATTATGTTTTTCGACATCGTATTCTACAGCTATTTAGACGGATGAATTCGAAGAAGGATATTAGGACTGATATTGTCATGGTTTAAAAAGAGCTTCTTGCTATTTAGAAGGTATAGTTCTCGATATTTTACCATTCGGTTCTAACGTTAGACAGCAACGCTGATCGCTTATCCAAATATATTCTAAGCTATTCTATCTTTAGAAAAACCTAATAGAAGCCTTCTACTATAGTAGAACTTTCATAACTCTCAGTGAAAGCCTAGCGGGATACTATACCAATATCTTTCTAATAATGCGACTGTTTCCTAGCCACATTATATTAGCAGAAAAGAAACAGTCCACGTTATCAGAGCTACCCAGGATATACCACACTATCCGTGAATAGTATCCTATGGACCCGACCATAGGGCTTTCCTAGTATCTTTTAATCGCAGGCCTCGAGACGAGTGATCTGATTCACTAGGAATAGGCAGAAAACTACCTGGGGAGCTTTAGTATAGAATAGAAGACATACAAGTGGGTTGTGGATATTCTTAGATTCGTATGAAATCAAGATATAAGACCTGGACTACTGGAAAAGAATATATATTTTCTCGAGTTTATACAATTAGCTAGCTAGGATAAATATAATCAAAAAATAGGAGCAATATATTCTTATCGCTATCTATTAAAATGCGGTCGAACTTTATCTTAACTCAGCCTTTGCGATTTTCCAATCCACAACGATAGCTTCGTACTTTAAATTATCTTGTAGTAAATCCAATGTACATAGCGCAAGATTTTTACCGACCGTGAGATAGATCTTGAAAACCTCCTCCATACCGGTAGCGTTAGTAAAGGACACATGGTGCGTGACTACGTCTTTCTCGCGTACAGGTATACAGAATATGGCGTGGATTCCGGGAAGAACGTAGCTCACGTTATCTTGAAGCGTATTAGTAAAGATGCATGGATATGGATTAGGCTGAGAGAAATGTTACCGAAGTCGGTCGAAGCCTGAATATAGTTGGGGTCTCTCTTCAGGACATTTTAACTATAACTGGCTATATGGTCATGGTAGAGCCCACATAGCGTGTCATTAACAAGAAGATTGGAGTAAGCCGATTTACTATGCTCTTGTCAGTTATTGTTTCGCAGTGGGGACGTAGGAAAACTCACTTCTTGAGATCTAGCTTGTATCCTGTTGCTAGATCCCCTACCTCCAAGTACGCACAAAGCCAACTGGATAGTTTGTAGAGGTTATTGATCTTGGGAGCTCGGCATTGCTAAATGATTGATATTTAACCAGCGATAATATTGGTTCTCTTAGGAGTATCGAGAATGGTACAGTGGATCTTCTGATCTAGATGCAATTGCTGGTAGAGAAGGAATATATTATTATACCTAGTAATCACCACGTCCAGGGTATTGGCCCTGTTCCAAGGGTTAGCAGCAGGGTATACAGTTCGCCTAAGATAGTGAGCTACCTTTGACTGCTTCGCAACCAGCCGAGCCCCGGCAGCTCTAACCGCACCGTGGGTATTATAGTAGTAATAATAAGGTATTGGATAGCTGTTACATATCAGTTGTTAACACTACGAAAGACCTGCCAAGTAGACGACCCAGGATACCAAGTACTCACGATATTAAGGCCGCATCGGCTCCTTCAAACGCACCAGCATAAAGTAAATCAAGCTTACCACCTCCGTGTTCCTCTGCAGGTGTATTAACAATTCGAATTCTCCCAGGTTGACTTATCGTTTTCAGAACAGCCACCGAGGCTAAAAAAGCCGTTAAGCTCATAATACCAATGAGGTTGTGTCCATATGCGTGTCTGATGTTAGGCAATGCATTGTACTCGGCACAGAAGACTATCTCACGCTCTCTTAATCCAAATTTAGCTTCGAAGAAGGTGTCGAGTCTATAGGCGTGGCGCGTGACTTTAAACCTATTCTCTTCCAGGATCTCGCACAACGTATCGTGAGCAATGTGCTTTTTATAGGCTAGCTCCGGATTCTCCTAGATTTACAATAGTCAGAATTATTCCTAGTCACGGTCAGTCAGGTTGCTCACCCGGCGGTTGGCCTCCGCGAGTCTCTTGGAGGCTTGCTCGATAGCCATATCAATGTGGTGTTGAACTTCCGAGAAGCTAGTTATTTTTGTCGATGATTACTTGAACTTATGCAAGGATTTGGCAATGCCAGTGTGAGGTTGAAGAAGAAGGTAGCCTGGAGAGCGTATGCGTACTCTTTATTAAATACCGTTAGTCGCAGGGACATGGGGCCTTATCGTAGACTGCCGATTGGCCCGCCCCTGTGTTTAATTATTATACAAGCCTCGAGATAAGCTTACCAATCGGTATCGAGAAGAATGTGGTATTGGACTAAATGGAATTCTGTTACGAGGGTATCTATTCCCCGCGTTTTAATCACTCAATATAGGCTCCCTACACGAGAGCCCCTTTTTCTAGGATACGAGGGAAACTCAATCCTGTCGGGTAAAGGGGTATCCTAAGTCTGCCAAGGTCATTAAAGCTATAAAATAGTGTAGCCACAGAGGAGGTTGGCAGCCTTCTCTCTATTTTTATTAACTTACAGAAATAAACAACGACAAAGGGGAAATAATAATGCCAACTTTAAAATTATCCAAGGACAAGATATGGCATATTGAATTTTAGTCTACAGACGTATCGGAGATCCAGTCTATCTTTGAGGAGAACAAAAAGCTCCTGCGCAAAATCAACCTTATACTTATGCCTTTAATATATAGATACTATATACTGCAGCTTCTAGATAAGTTAACTTTTAATTTCTCTTCTTAACTGGGTATAGTTTAAGATCTGAATCTTCATAGATCCCAATACAGCTGGACATTATCGGTCTTCTATTTCGGATATATATTCTAGATATAACCAAGTTGCTGGTTGGCCGTAAAGCTTCCACTAGGGAAATACCTTACTGCAACAGTCTTGGTCTAGGGGGCCATTTTGATATGCCATAGTACGTGTCAAAACTTTGCGAGGTTTATAATTGTTCGATTTCTTCTTGGCGTCTTGGAAGCTACCATTACCCTAGGGTTCTCTCTCCTAGTTAATATATTCTATAGAAGAGACGAGCAGCCGCTACGCTAGAGCCTATAGTTTACAGACAACTGTATCGCGAATGTGATTGGCGATGTGATTAGCTACGGAATTAATTATATCCAGTTCTCACTGGTACTATGGAGACTTCTCTTTCTTATTCTCGGGGCTATCATAGTTACGTATTCCGTCTTTTTTGCACCTTTCCTTCTGGACTCTCTTTCCAAGGCACAATTTTTGAACGACTATAAAAAGATAGTATTGATACAACAAATCACAAGCGACCCCTCCGGCGCAACGGACGAGGATATATTTCGAAGATACCAAATATTTGAAGCCTTACGAAATCCACAGTCCTGGCTGCTGGTTATATATATCTTCTCCGTCAATATATGCAATAGCGGGATCACAACCGTGAGTTCTCTCTATTACTGCAAGCAACCTCTATTGATAGCTATTCTTATAGTTTAACAGCCTGCTTATCAATGGTTTCGGCTTTAATCCGTTGTAATTACTACTCCTTTAAATGCCGCTTGGCAGCTGCTAGCTTACTGTCCTAACTATAATATCTATCATCGCTACAACCTTCCTAAACTGCCGTATTGTCTTGATGATGTGTTCATGTTCTATATTATTAGTAGGAATGATTCTTATCCACGTGCTGAACAATTCCGAGGTCTACTCGCGGTTGGCTAGTATATACCTGGCCGCCGTCTTTGCTGCAAATACACCAATGTCATTGAGCTTAATTGCTTCCAATATTGGCGGCTTTATAAAAAAGGCGACTGTTAATGCAATGCTGTTTATAGCTTACGGCTTGGGTAATATTATCGGGCCATAACTGTACTTAAGCTGGCAAGCTCCTATCTACCCGGTAAGAAGCTGAACGTAGCTGGTCATTTTATGTATGCTAACGCGGTCTGCGCAGGTGGGGATCTTCTCAACGATTGCGGGGTTTTGCAGTGGTATTGTCTTTCTCACTTTTTTATTGACCTACTATAAGTACGAGAATTGGAGACGAGATTCAAAATCCAAGCATCAGACCGACACAGCGTCTAAGCAGGAGAGACCTGCGATAGCTATTAACACGATAGATAAGGAAAACCCACAGTTTCGGTATATTTTATGAATGTCGTCCTCAAATCTGTCTCGTTATAACATCGTTATTTATAGGCTTGGTATGCGAGAAATATAGCCAACTTATTATCTTGGTAATGGCTGATCTATCGTAGAATACACCGCTTTACCTAACAATCTGCGGATATACTCCCGCGACCCACCCTTTCTGTCTAGTTCCAACAGGCCTGTTCTTAGTATTCTAAGTTAAGCCGGCTCAAGTCTATTAACGTCACAATCGCCCATGATACTTTTAAATAAACCATGTTTTCAACCAAGGAAAACTGTCAATTAACTTTTACTATTACCTTTCTCTACTCTACAGCCCACAGCTACATCTCAATACCCGAATAGTATCAGTACCTAATTTGCCTCGCGGGTGGAATGAGCTGAACTCGATATAACATACGGATCCCAGTCTAGGCTGGGAAACCGTTCCACAGGGGTGGCACAGGCGGTAATTTGCTAATGGGTTGTTAATTATATTCTATATCTCTTTGTTCAGTAGATATCATTAAGCAAATAAGCAAAGCTTGTCCAGATCGGTCCACTGGAGGTGGGTAAGGGTATCGGATACACCGGTTTGAGGCTAGATATATACCGTCACCCCAGTTGATTGGGATTCACTGAGGTTTAGTTAAGGGGGCCATAGCGGAGACCCTTGCCGTGGGAAAAGGCTCTTATTGGCCTACTTTCTACCCGTTGGACTATCTTCGGTGCAACTTCGATGCGTTGGACGCGGAAAACGAAGCCTCGACCATCTACACATCCGCATTCTCCGCAACCTCCACCCCCTTGAGGGTTTTAATAAGATACACTAGATCTCTCGAGATGCAACATGCAATATAAAAAATGGCCTAGTTTTAATCTCCGTGGTACTTTATTCCAACTAGATCTCCAAGACGTTTATCTAAGAGACCTTACATATACACATATGTACTTAGATAAGCCGCAGCAATGGAATGCCGTATTGATATCTATTACTACTATGTTCCCGTGTCTTACCGGCAAGGTATGTCCATCTTTACCACCCTGATCCATATTTTCCAAGGCTAACATTTTATCACTACTTAGCCCTTGAAAAAATGGGTAGGGACCTATCGGGATGGCCAACCCCCGATTGGACTGTCAAGGACGACGAGAAGATCTGTCAAGATTACAGTGTAGAAACCGCTATACTGTCTATAACAGCCCCGGGAACTAGTATCTTAAAGGGCGCTAAGGCGGCTAAGCTCGCCAGAGACTGCAATATCTATATCAAAGGTCTCAAAGATAAGTATACTAAAAACTACAGCTTCTTCGCTATATTTCTAGACCTGCTCGATACCAAGGTAGTATTAGAAAAAATCCGCTTCTCACTCGACTATCTCGATACCAACAGTATAATCGTTTACACTCGCTATAGCAATAGCAATTACTACCTTGGTTACCCCAAGCTGACCCCTATCTGGGAAGAACTGAACCACCGCTTAGCAGTAGTCTTCGTCTATCCTACCCACGGCGTCGATACCATCCTTGTTAACAAGATGCTTCCCTAGCCTATGATCGACTACCCGCACGAGACAACCCGCGCCATGTGCGACCTTATTACCACCGACACCATCCGCAAGTTCCCTAACTGTAAGGTGATCCTGTCCCACAGCGGTGGTAATCTCCCGTGGCTGGCCCATTAACTGGCGATTATGCTACTAGACTTGGGATTGTCGACAATACCGCGTGAGCATTTCCTCGAGAATATACGCATATTCTATTTTAACCTGGCACTGACAGATCACAAGATCTAGTTACTATTACTACGGGACTTTACTAAGCCGGGTTATATTTTATTTAGAAGCGACTTTCCCTATGCTCCGGAAGTGACGGTGAAAACGTTTAGTTATGGGTTAAGTAAGGTAAAAGTATTGGATAAGGACCGCGATGATATTAACCGCTAATCTAGTCTTAAGCTATTTCCTCGTCTTCAGCAGTACTAATAATGTGGCGCTTTATTAGAAGAATGGTTAGTATAGTAATAGAAAAAGAATTATTAGTATATAACATAAAATTATATTACGAGGAAAGAAAGATAATAAAAGAGAGTCTAGATATATTAATCTAATTATATTTATACGCAGGTTACTTTTTGCTACATTTTCAATCTATTCTTTATATAAATTATTACTATCGTTAAATGAGCGCCTATATCAATGCTAGAAATAGGTGTCGTATAGTTCGAGTACCGAGGCCCTTTCATAAGGCGGGAATGTAACCCAACAGAACAACCAATGACATCACCTTACGCTGACCAGTAGGACACTAGACCAGACTATCTTCGGTCGAACTTTTGGTCCACATGACCAATGCCCTTAGTCCAACCACGCGGGGCGCGGGTGGATCTCATTCCGCAGACCGATCCCAGTTGAGCTCCGCTTGACAGTTGATATATACAAGCCTATGCGACGTAACACTCCGCAAGTGTCTTGAGATCTAGACTTATACCATCTGCTGGAGTCACATATCATCTGCTTCCAAAAACGGGTGCCCAATATTCACTAACTTTGACCCTGATCGAGGAATATTGACTACAGGATTGGTCGAGAACACCTCCTGCAAGAATGCCCTCTTCTGCTTTGGCCTGTCAGTTGTGTTGCAGGTTAGTGTCAGCCTAGTCTATCATTGCATGGATTAAGAAACTGCTCATTGCATCTATCTGCGACTAGGAGGAAGGTCAAATGGTATATAGCCTCCGGAATGAACCCATTCTGCGACATCTATGAATAACAAGCCTGCAGCGACCGAACTTTCCCGCAATGTAAGGTCTGTGATCAAACGGGCTAGATATGCAATTACCCACTGGGACCGGCAAGACCAGGACCTAAAATAGGTGAGAGGCCCCGGAGCTGTCGCAAAGTCGCCGACAGCTAACCGTGCAATTGACAACATTTAGGGTCTCTACAAAAACAACAAAAGGCCCAACAGGTAAATGCGAATATATGGACCGGCCAGTATCACCACTCTTCTAATCAATTGTATACTACTTCTTCCAATCTACAGCACAGTCTTTCTGATACATTGGACAATATGGAAGAAGATGATGGGTCAATTATAGAGAACGTTACTCGGAATATTACGCCGGGGAATGATATACAAAAAGAACAGCGATAACGTAATATTCTTGATCTTGTATTCGTACTCTATCTATCCTACCAAGTCGCAACTTCTGATCAGGCTCAGCAGCAAAGCCCCAGCTCTTCAAATAGTCAGGTCGGTCTTTCACGTCAAGCATGCAGAGTGTTAGACATTTCGCAAGATACTATGAATCAAATATATAACTGTCGGCTATGATCCAATTTGCTCGATGACTTGTTAGACTAATTATATAAATAGAATTCAACTGTTTTTCGACAATATGGTCGCTATCAATATTTTCCACCAACCTTCATTCGCGGAAAAGCTTTTTAATATCAGTTCCTGCACCGAGCTGACTGCTCTACTCGCCGCTATGGCCAGTTATATCTCAAGGTTCGCCCGGCCTATAGTAAATGGCCTAAGCAATGATACGGGCCAGCCAGTAGCGAGCCATGACCGCCAGCTAGCGTATTTTCTCGACATCGCTTTTAAATACATCGACAAAGCCCTGATAGACTATGATAATAAGGTACCACCACTATCCATTATTCAAGCTCTTATCGTGGCAACGCATTGTCGATTGACACAGGGTGTTCGCGGCAAAGTATGGAGGTCTCTGGGGCTGTGTATAAGTTTGATGTATAAATCGAACCTGCACTGCCTTGATTGTAGAAAGACTCCAAGAGTAAAGGATATTCTCTAGTAGCAAGAATTCGAGGAAAACCACCGCGCATTTTAAACTATCTAGGAAATGGATATTTTTGCTAGTACTATCCGTCGAATACCCACAGCTATCGATTGGAACTATATGGAAGTATTACTACTAGTTGACAACGAGCACTGGTTCTCTGGGCAGCCCATCTCAAGTTGCTTTATACAGATAGATCCGAATAAGCGGTGGAAGGCCCTGCAGGAGAGTGGTTACCTGTCCACCAAGACATGGTTCCTTGTGATAAACTCCCTCATGAAGGAAGCACAAATCGTTCGTGACCTGCACGCCGCGTCAACCACAGAGAATAATAAATATTCTTATCGTGGTCAAAAACCAACTCAGTATTCCTCGAGATCTGCATTTCCCACGGAACGTTTTTTGGAGTTGGAGACATTTGTAAATGCAATTTACTGCTTTAATATAGCCTTACTCAATTATCTCTAATATCGCGATCAATATTTAGCATTTGAAACACCGGTTTAAGGATAAATTAAATCTTAACGTCAGCAGCATTGTTCTATTTACAATATCTACGTCATGACTTAATTGGCGTATTTGATGATCTATAGAAACGATACTTTCCTTCTCCAAAGTGGCCGGGCTCCAAGGAGGAGTGGTCAGCCTGCCGAAATTTATACTGACTGGACGCCTTTATATTTACCTAATATAGAAAATAGAGTACGCTAACAATATTATAAGGCTACGGATCGTATCTTGAGGATTATTAATCAGAGCTGCGCTGAGTATATTCAGTATATCAATCCTTTCTTACCAAGTACTATATAGCTTACAGCAGCTGTACAGTTAATTCGGAAATATCTTACTTAAATATATTTCAGCTAGAGCCTTATAAGGTCGCGCTTTAACGTTCTCCACTTAATCTATAAACAATATATGGAATTTTGGGATATCCAAAACGCACTCTAGAGAAACCTCCAATTGATCTGGGAGCAATTAAAACTCAAGTATAAGAGAAGGGAAAATTAGGAGTCTTCGCTATCTAAAGAGACCTCACGGCAAATATTGAAGAACACTGGACTAATAAACTAGATTAGGCCTAACCGAGATAGTCACCGCACCGAGCGCAACGCGACTATGGTCTAGACACTCATATAACTTACTCAATATTTACCAGAAATGCTTAATTATCCACCTAATAGTTTAGCTTACATTGACCCCGAGCTAGAAATCACCCGTCGAAATGGCATGTCATAATATCTAGGACCAGGTACTATAGAAGTATTCGACGCTATGACTTCATTGCATCCCAGCGGAAACCAGAATTTAGAGATCTCTCTGAGTGCTGTGGACTTTACCCTTGTGAACCCAATATATTAGCTCGATCAGATATTTAATTGGCCCACCTTTGACTTCCCTAGCGGATTACAAGGCTTATTTGCGGGGAGAAATGTGTTCTGATACTGTCCCTTGGACATAATTTCGCCGTAGATGCCTTGTCTTCTGTACCTTATTTAATATATATTGTCTCGCCTAGCGCTATACAACTTTAAAGGGTTGGTCTTATTTACTATCCACTGCATCCTTAAAGCGATGACATGTCTTAATGTCTGCCCGGGTTTTTTATAAAGGCGAAGTAGCCTACTATGGCAATTTAGAGGGTTAAAACTAAAGAGGGGGCGCTAGACCCCGCCTAACCTCTCTCTATCTTTTTCTAAAGTAGCTTAGAGCGAGCGTCTTTCCGAAGATTTTAAGAGCTTCTTTTACTTTATCTCTAAAACTAGCCTTGGTAGTACTCTCCAGAGCTGTCTTAGCATTGATTACACTTCACTATATACCTAAGCTATGGTATTACAAATCTAGGGCACGCGGGCGTGTCTTTTGATATGAGATAATGCTTGGTAAATTATCTAGGGGAACGAAGGTAGTTATATAATATAATGTAAAGCTGATCCTTTCAATACACAGTATTCTATTATCTAATAAAATAAGAGACCTCAGGGGTTTCTCTATATTTAGTAGGATCCCGGAATAGGGGCTATGCGCACTCCCAAGATTATTTTACAGGACGGTGATAATATAAGGATAGAGATTGAGAATATTGGAACATTGTTAAACAAGGTCTACTATAATTAAATGTAAATTACGACTTGTGTGATACAGTCTCAATCAAATAGAACCTCTTGTATTTCCGGATCTCAATTGAACGCCCTTTAAGCTTTTTATTCTTTCTTAGAACAATATTTCTAGTCATAAATTTTAATCAATACACGGAAAGCATATCGTCCCAGTCTCTTGCACCGTCTTCTATGCCTAAAGCAATCGAACTCCACATTTGCTATGCATTACCTACCAGTAAAATACTATACCTAGGACCTTAGTGACAAGAATACCACGGTGTCCCTGGATTTTTACATTTCTATAGCAGTGGTGGGACCAAGCCTGGCCTGACACTATACATATACACTAAGCCAAGAGGAAAGAGATATAACATTGTTACGACTAGGTGGCTAAGCCGAAGATGCCCCTCATAACCATCAGAAGCTTTACTTCGCAGTCTTCAGCATTTACAAGAACCTGCAACGCTCTCCACGCAACAAAGCGATCCGGCCGTATTAACACAGCCCCCGATTCCTCTATCCCCCGCAATGTCTCCCAGTCAAAGTACAGATCCTCCCAATTCTGTCCAAACCTAATATACTCTACCTTTACTGGGACCCTCAACAAGGCGCTCACATCCTCCGCCGCCTTCTTCCATAGCCCACCACCAATTCCACTCGACAGGACAAACGAACCATAACCGGCAATATCGATCGTTGAAACCGGCTCCCCGGGGATCGATCTATTAAGCCAGGCATAAGAGAGTCTTAATCCAGGATACGTGCTAGGCTCATAGAACAGGACGCTATTCTCTATCGCTCGCCCAGAAAGGGCATATAGCGCAGACTCATCAGCGGTGTAGATACCTTGACTTATATAATATTGATTCAACTCAATTCCCAAGCTATGGAATTTATACGACGTATACTGCGTGTAAGGCTTGGTAATAGTTCGCCCCTTCCAGCGTTGCACTCTTCAACTCCTTAAGTAACATGTTCCGCTCCACCACATCGGCGGGCAGCATACCAAGGCATTTCCACACGGGATAGTGGTCACGGAATACCTGATTCGTCCTTGAAACGATTGAGCGACCAGCTGGCTGTCTCTCGGTAGAGTAGGTAGATAACAGCGACGGTAACGCAAGCCCTTTATAGATATATGCGATCTTCCAAGCGAGGTTGAAAGCGTCTTAGATGCAGGTGTTTAACCCGAGCCTGTTCAACAGTGGATGACGGTACACGGCGTCTCCGAGATAGAAGCTGGAAATCAAATGTGTCAATTAGCAATAATATATTTAGGGCTGGGAATGGAATGCGCAGAATGTCAACTTATATATTGTTCTCGGAGTATTTCTCGGTGACGGTCTTATTAATATACTACATTGAGACATTTAGGATCTCTGCCGGCGTATCATCGCCGATAAATTCCTGAACTCTTTCCTAAAGCGCACTATCTGACAACTTCTCGTGCGGCCGTCAGCGGTTTAGATTAGGAAATAGAATGAATATCCACTCGTTCCATGGCCTCACCATGCGTACGATTCCCATCCAGCTGACTGCCAGATGCTCACAATCTGGCTACATTACCCAGTGAAGGTTTCCTGTCCGGTTCTTAACCAGATAGGAGAGGTCGGCCTTCACGAGGATGTTGATTACTGCGCCTTAACTCGGCAGAACGGTTAGAAACAGGTTTAGCTACTTTACCACCTCGCTGCGGGCACCGTCCACGCTAAACAGATATCGCGTTCAAACTTTATACTCTTTATGCAATAATCTATTTACAACAATAGCGGTGATCCAGCTAGTTTCGATATCGTTAGTAAAAGAAATAAGTGCTGTGTCGAACCGGCACTTAAAGCTAGTTAAAGCTACATAACGGACCAGAACTGGCTCTAAGACGGTTTACGGCAGGTCGAACGGATCGCATGGACTGAATAGCTTATAGTTTCCCTATATATACCTTGAATAATTTATTCTCACTCGATGGAATGAAGAGAAGATAGTACCTTTCGTCGGGGATCGTTTCTCTAGGGATAGATGCGCGCGTACTCCTCGCCGGCCATACTGTGACACCATCAGGTGTATTGCATATGGTCTGTTCTCTTGGATCCGAGTTTCTCGAGTTCATCATATAACCCAATATCTTGTAGGTATTCTAAAGACAACGGGTGATAAGTATATAACATTTACTATGAAGGCGGATTACTGACCTAGTGCCACCATATTGGTGATATGCGCGCGAGGTGTATTTGCCGTTCCGGGCGCACTGCTGATCATGATACTTTGTAGTCCTTTATAACTAAGTACCACTCTAGCAACAGGCCTATTGAAATAGGGGTCGGGAGGGAGGTACCTACTATAAGATCCTAGAAAACAAGCCAATGCGGCGCCAGCAGGGCCGGCTCTAATAATTAGAAATTCGGTATTGACTACATCGCTCAAGTCGTGCACGGTGGTTGCTGTTCCCTCGTTGGTAAGGTAGGGTACCATAGTAGCTGAGTGTGTATATACAATAATATGGTTTCCTAGTAGAGTCCCACGTCTTTTAAAGTAGATTTACGTGGGTCTACCACGATGAATTGCATGGGCCGATTTCTGTGATAGCTGATATCGTAGCTCGGGAAGCCTAACCTACGGGACTCATGCATAGTTAATTATCCCGAAGATAGACCAATATATAAGTCTCCAGGTAACTCCTTCGGTGAAACGTTGTATTAATTTCGCTCATCGATACTGCCAGTTTGCGAATCTATAATTAGCGGATCAAATTACCTAATAGCTACCCTGCATTCCTTAGACGAGTGGCCGATACTCTGGTATTTCTCAAGTTCTCCGACACAGATATAAACAAAAATACAGTGCCGTGGCAAAAAGTGGTTGTTAATTATAGATGGTTAATGCAATTTGGACAGTATAAGGAGATATAATATATCCTCATTCGTTTTTAATCCTGGAAGTAACATGGCTTATTTGTGATCATTCGATATACTGAAAGCACCTCGACTATCGTTATATATAATTGTCATAACATATAGGAGTAGACCTGTCACCAGGCGAACACGTGTATTTACAGTCAATATTCCTAAGGATACTATCTAATCACTCCCTTAATAAACATCATATTGCATAGATAATATCTACAATCATACAGTTTTAAATCGCGGGAAAACATTCCGCTGGGTCTCCTCGAGCTCTTTTATAATGGTGGTCTGTCGGGCCTCCGACCATGGCTTAATCACGCAAGGGAAGTCCTTCGTATATACCAAGAAGCCCTCACTATAACCAATGTATAGGCTAAAGTTATATTTAGCCGGTTTTGCGTTCTCATCTATACCGGGCTCAATTGAAAATGCCCAGATAAGTTTCGCAAACGCTAAAAAAAGATTCCGTTCTGCGAGGTAGATATTAGGATAGATGCGACGTCCCAACCTATAACCGTAGTGATCGTGCCTTTTATAATCTAATGATACTGCAAGCTCAGGAGCCAGTATTGTCTAGCCCTTATAGTGGTCGGGATCAAAAACATCGGGGTTCGAGAACTTAGCTTCGTCGTAATGCATGCCCTATAAGTTAATAATAATAGTAATATCTTTAGAAATGAAGTAGCTGTCGATCCAGTCGTCTTAAATTTAATTAGCATTATTTCCCTCTATTTTTCTAAGAAAAGGGAGAAAGAAAGATGCACCTTCGGCTGCTACGTGGGGAAAGGCGAGAAGGATAATAGGACACTATCGCTAGGCTTCTTTCACGATCATCACCACGTATAACAGCTATATATAGTCGAACCACACCAGGATACAATCTTCGCCAATGACGCTATCAATTTCCACTTGTGCCTTCTTTAGTACATAACCCCACTTAATCATCGCATAGATAAATGCCAGAACAAGGGAGCTCGTGGTATCAAAGCCCCCTTCTATCAATACACCTCCAAGGAAGTAGAGTTAATATAGGTTTAGACCGAGTTTCTCCTCTTAGTCCAGTAGAGAATCCATAAGCGAGTTTTGGCTTCCTTTCACCTTGCGGCGCTCTCGAATATAGTCAAATACACCCGAATATAAGTCGTTCATCTCCTTCCCTACATCTTTCGATCTCGAGTGCCAGTTGCCAAGCAGTCTCTGCGGTATATAGTGGAACAACGGGTAGATGTCAACTGGAGGAGTAGTACCCAGCTCCATTAACTGTGACCAGTTCTCCTATATTACAAAGGACTAATCAGATATAAATTTTTGTGATGCCCAGTTAACCAAATCTTACTATCATATCATATAGACGAGTCATGTGTAGTGTATCCACCGAGAATATCTATATTCCAAATATTACCAAAGCCCTTAGGAAAACGATTCAAAGAATATAAGCCTTCGATAACTAATATAAATAATAAATATATCTAAACTTATAATAATACTATTACTAAAGCGTTTAGAATGGCGCATATACTGATCCGGATACACATATATATCACGAAGCATCTGTACTGCTTCCGCATTCTGGACCTTAAGGTAATACTTCTCGACCATCGACTCCATGAAATGCTGGTGGATGATTTTCCGGAAGGACCGCCACTGCTGTCCATACTATATCACCAGGAGATGGTCTCCCGATATCATGAGATCGTGCGAGATATATAAGGCTGGTCGATTACTATATTTTACGCTTTTCTTATCGATAAGTTCTTTGATAATACAGTGATCGGTGATAACGACTACCGTGGCAGTGCCCAGTTTCAAGAAATATAGACCACTATACTGCTTCACCCACTCGGTAAATCTGTATTCAGGTCAGGACTTGCCATCGATTGGGATAGGACACAGATCCTTACTTCAAGTAAGATCCTTTCCGTGGAATCTGATGGAGATTGCCAAGCACAGGCACCGTTGGAGGCCCTGTACTCCATAGATATCAGCTCTATCTTGGTATTGCACTGGAGACCGCTATTCTATGGCTTTTATACCTGTAGGGAGGCGTTTATCCCTTCGGCCGGTTCTCAGAATGAGGGCCAGTAGACTAACTAAGGCTGGTACGATCAGGACACTGAGTATCGTGGCGAGTGTGCAGGCGGTTGGCGAATTTAAACCAGCTTCATGGGAGGCTGGCAAGGTCTTGTTTATAACTGGGTCGATTGACTCTGGCGAACGAGTTGGGGATTGCGGATACGGGGCCCCGCGTGCGACGGTTCATGCAGCATTCCGGCCCAACTTCGCGCAAATTTCGCGTTATCTTCCCGCACACTCTGCGGGGTTACATCCGCAGCGACCTCGTTGCTTGTCTATTGGTTTTCGGCTTGACTTTTAATAAATCCAGTCCCTTATCTGCCAGCATAGGACCCGACATATAATTACGTTAGACCTGATCATCAGTTCGGCCTCAGAGATCCAGTGTCGATATTTCCTATTTTAAGTTTCAACGGAGCTATCACATCCTGAGACGAAATGAAAGCGCCGTAGACTATCCACTAGTGGAACCAGAAATAGGGTGGGTATAATCAGAAGCTACGGTATAGTATTAAAGGAAAGTGTGCTTTTAACAGACTTTATATATATTACGGTCCACAGCTGCATATCTACCTGGAACTTTATATTAGAAAGTCCCTCTAGTATCAAAAGTACTGGCAGGAGGAGAAAGAAAGCGATAAATTAACCAAATCCTCATTAACAGTGCGCTTTTAAAAGAGACTTATCGCTCCCTATGCTAATAAGAATAACAGCCATATTATTGACACATAGACATATATAGCTTCAAGAACACGCGATTCTCGTCACTTTTAGTCATCGACAATATTTTAATAAGAGGAAAGATAACGGTACCGATGCCAGGAAAGACACCAGCTTTAGCCGCGATAGCTCTACCTCGAACGAGCTAAGTACATATAGTATAGGGCGGTAAAAGGTAAACTACTATTAGTAAAGTCGAACACGATTTCCCTTAAGCAGCGAATAGACTTATCTTATATCTCGCTTTCTGACTTTCTATACCGCTTTCCCAAGAATAAGAGCCATAATTCCTTAACCAAAACTATATTAGTCTATTTTCAATATCCAGCAGAGATACTATTACCTGTTTCCCTTTCTTGTCTTCAAGGTATTCTTATCGTCTATTAGATTGGTAAGGAAAAGATAGTATAAACATTCCTTCTCCTCAGCGATAAATATAGGCCCTAAAGTCTGCCAGTATAGATACTAACCCAGCACCTCATATGGTAGCCACGTTAGATAAATTTTCCGCCTATAGGAGGGACTTTGTACAGAAATAAAGTTGCATGTGCCGCTGCACTGAGTGCACCATATACTTGCTAGTCTTTCTGCTTGTGTGAAATGGTGTATTATATAACGTTGTGGAAATTGTTCATAGACAGGGTTAGAGGAATAGGAAACGAGGCGAGGCAAACAGCCCAACCATATTACTATATCGCTGGTGCCAGGATTACCAGCTCAATTGGTTGTGTCAAGCGTTTCGAAGAGTGCCCACACGTGATCCCAACAGCATCGCAACTATCAGGAGGTTATAACAGTCGACGTAGCCTGGTAATTTCCTAGAGAAGGATTATTCGTGTATATCCTTTGCCCAAGGATATCTTGCTACCTATATAGAACTCGATAGGCAGTGTATTTTACTAGCTGAGAAGCCGCTATCTCATGGATCAGAAAAAGACTAATAGTAGGCTAGTTCAGTATTTATTTGGGGTCGAAAAAGCGCAATGTAGGGTACCCTGCGATTGCTGCCTAACAATCACGAACGACGCACAAACATCGTCGGATAACACAGGGTTATCTAAAGAGCACCCAGCGCAGTCGGGCGATAGTCTGGGCGAACACGAACGTCGCTGGTTTAGAGGCCCCCACCCGACTACTGACCGCAGAGAAGCCACACGCCGGGAGGTTAGTAGTTGGGTAGATAACCACCAGCGAATCCCTCCTATTGTATGTCCGCGTTCACCCATTTTTTTGTGATTCGTTAGGGAAACTCCCCTTACCGCCCTAACCTTCCGCCCATTCAGTCCTCTCGCTCACCCTGAATACCCTGAATGCCACTACATTCCTAAACACCCGGCACATGCCAGAAGCACTAACATACTCTTCCTATTACAAACTGGCTATCCCTGCAACTTGAGTATACACTTTCGAAAAAAAAAGAGACAACAAATAGGTTTTTTAATCCTAGAATAGCTCGCAACTAATAGCAGCACCACGTCTGGCTGAGTTAGATTTAGCTGATTTTAATTTTATTGGTGGGACATGTTAGACAGCAGAAATAAATACACCGTGGGTTGGATCCGCGCCCTGCGTGTGGAATATGTTGCCGCACAGGAATTCCTCGATGAAGAGCACAGATAACCAACCAATTTACCTCCAAATAGTTACCTTTTTACGGGGTAAGAGAAATTTCAGCCCAATAACTTGTTGCTCAATAGGCTACTCAGATAAAGTATAAAATATATCAAAATTTCAAAAACAAGATATGGAAAGACAAAAAATTTTTTATTTAGATAGTGATATACCTTATTATATAGACTTTATTTCTACAATCCTAGCAATCCTAGCGCCTTCACTAGTCCCGTAATTACTGGTTTAGAGTAAAGTAGCTATGCACGCGCTAGCTGTAATACATAGTAATACTCATAGATTCATAACAGAGCTATTGCCCCCGATATCTACTAACTAATTAATCAAAATTCTATTTATCCTTATTATTTTATAACTAGCAAGACGATAGCGCTATCATTTATTACTCTCGTTATAGAAAGCAAACAATATAATATTCCCACTCAGTTCCTCTAGAAATACCAAAAGCTCGCTCTAGCATTTCTCAGGTTATCAGCTATCGTCATATCTAATATTAATGAAGATATTAGATATACTTTAGTTTATTTATTATATACGGGTAGCTACGAGACAGTAAGTTTACCTTTTAATAAAAATATATCAGATCTCGCTAAAGAGTATAAAAGGTATATTTTACTTTACTATATATTAAGGCCTAAAGACTTGCTAATCTTAAAGCCCTTTTTAACAAAAGATATAGTATATAAATAAGGACCTCCCTGTGCTTAAAATATTGTAAAGAATGAGAATATTTTCTCAACTCTCCCCGCTGCTGAACCTTAGCTTCCAGATTATATTCAAGAAAAATTACAGCGCTCGCTAAGACCTAATAATATAGAGCTTAGTTTACAAAAATTCTATAATATTATTAATAAAGGCTATCAGTTCAACAATACAGTAAAAAAAAAAAAAAAAAAAAAAAAAAAAAAAAAAAAAAAAAAAAAAAAAAAAAAAAAAAAAAAAAAAAAAAAAAAAAGATTATCGAGATACTATTTATTCGCACTTTTCTATAAAAGAACAGTAGATTTAGTTACTTCCAGTAAATTAGAGATAGGCTAATAAGCTGATTTAATTTTTGCTATATCGTTAGTGAAGACACCGAACAGTATTATCTTAAATAAAACCCCGCTATAAGGGCCTATCTTCGACGAATCTAAATCTATTCCAGAAGAGACTAAGTATTTCTCTAAAGATCCCGAACCTAGTCAGTGGGGGCTCCTTACTAAAGTAGAAATCGGATTCTAGGTTATTCCTTAAATGTCTGCTGAGCTTAGCGACTGGCCGTACCCTTTGTTATTGCCTGAAGATACATTAAATCCCGAATTATAAGAAACTTCTGGTTAGGGCCACATAGAAAGGATTTTATACTTAGACTTGATTCTATGAAAATTGGGAAAGTCTATCTTCGAAGAGATGAGTTAAAAAGGGTAGCAAGCTTAGATCTAGAGGCCTTTCTATCCCAATTAAAACTGGTTTTATTGTAATAGTTGCAAATTGAGAACGATTTAGGGGTGGCTTTAACTAGGAAATTGAACAACCCTTTACTTTATTATTTTAAGTTTTAGAAGTACTAATAGGAGGTATCTTGTAAGCTTTACGCAATCTAAGGATTTTAACTCTCTGGTTTAATAGAGTATAATTACGATTAGGATCGGCTTTCAACTTAACTACCCTCTTCTATAATTGGTTCGATGCTACTCTTTTCTCTGCTTTAGAGTAGCTCGGTCTCTTTTTAAACTGGGATAAACCAGCGAGTCTAGATAAATAATAGATGAGAGATCGTAGCGATCGTCGCTAATAGTTCCTACGAAATATCCCAAGAAATTGGGAGTTCAAGGGACCGTTTACGGAGTATAAACGTGGCATCCTGTGAAATATATCTTTATTTTGCGCCTCTTGCATTAGCAAAACGCTAATAATCAACCAAAATGCCAACAAGCGCTCTACTAAAGCTAGTGAATATTTTACTAACGAGATATTCAGTCGATAGAATTTTATGATAGGTATAATTATTTTATTTTTAAATATTATAAAATTATAATCTTATATACTATAGAAAAATAGACCCCAAGAATATTTTCTTCTAAAAAATTTAAACTAACGACAAAATAAATGTCCTTAAAATTCTCGGCCAAAAATACTTTCCCGTGAAAAAATTCTTATCTTAAAATATTAAGCCTATTAAAACTTTACCGTTGTCTAATATTAATACCCAGGAATAATATCAGGCCATTGAAATATTATTCTCGTATTTCAGGGTATATATAACTTATACTGGAGCTTTTGATATAGATTTTATAAAGGAAAAAATATTACCGGCCCTAATATTTAGATAAGATATATATTTAGGCCCTCGGGAAAATTTCGGTCGGAAGGCTATATCTGTCAAAGCCCCGGGAATTACCCCAAGGCTTCTTGGCTAGACAATCAGTCATTGAATATATATTTAGCTCTGTAGCTAGGAATCAATAATTTATCCAAGTGTATTAGCGCTGTCCGTTGCCATGGATATATAAAGTCCCCAGAGGCCTTGAGCTCTAAGTCACTCTTCTAACGGCCCAAGGATCGCATTACTAGATCCTAGGATCACAATACATATTCCTATGAGTTGTAGACGCCCTAGGAGTAGCGCTGTGGTACCTAGGAGCGGATATCCCCGTGCCTAGAAGATTTACCTCTTTCTTGAAGTCCTGTCAAGCGGATCGGCTATTTAGTAAAAGTAGAAGAAAGGAGGGAGAGATACTAGCCCTAGGTACCCAAGATACACACGATGCAGGTTAAAAAGGGGGCCGGGACCAACTCCTAGAGGTAAGTTATTAATTAAACCCCTACCAAGCTATTTACAATACTTATCCAAGCTGCTAAA